TGTTTATTTATAAACGTGTGTGTTCCGTTTCTTTCGTACGTGTTTATTGATATATCTGTACTGTAGTGTTTTCGGACGGTACTAGCTCTTACTGCCAATATAGGAGTATTACATATATGTTTTAAAATTATATTGCTGGCAAACGTCAGACTGCCTGTCAATGATTTTACCTTGTAATGTTTTTTATCATGGATATGAGTATTGTGTACTGCATACTATTTACAGGAACTTAGTAAAAAATTAATTACTATCTCCAATTCAATTTGTATATTTGTTCTTTCGGTTCAAACAAAGTATCACCGTCATTTTTTAGGCTTTGGTTTGTATACAATCTCAATCGGGTCCTAAAGTCAGTCCTATAAATTTTTAAAGCACTAAAATATACGTTCACTGAAGCATTAGAAAGGGGCTATATTAGTAATGCAGACATTATTTTTTTTTTAATTGGGAAACTTATATGAACCTGAAGAATCTTTTAATTCAAAAACTTTTCCTATAATTTTCTGGATCTAATGAAGAATCAATATGAATATCCTTATGATCGAACAATGCGTGTGCTCTCCATTCGTTACCGAGATTTTACAAGTTTAAAATAAGTTGAAAATATAACGATGGAATGAAAAAAATTATCGATAACATTTTGAATATTTAGCAAAATTCAGATGTGCTTAATAGCGAAAAACACCCCACAAGCGGCTTGATAAACCAAGCGAAATATCCCTCTCCTTAAAGCTATTTATGTTGTGTATGGGGGTGTTTGAAGGTTTGACAAGCCGTTTGAACAAAATTCAAAAATCTTTGGATTTTCTGTCCACCATGTTGACATTTGATCAAACCGCTTACGTTGTGTATGATAAAATCCCCCACTCGCAACGGAATGAGGATGCGAGAGAGTAAAATCGAAGAAAACCAAGCGCTTTTTACATAGTGAACCGGAAGAAAACTGAAATTCTTTGCTTGAACGAGTCATGTTTGCATGGTGTATGGCGAAATGGGAAAAGTAGGTTTTAAGAATATTTGACAAGCCACTTGTTAGGTGTATTTCGCCCTTTATAAAACTTCGGAAAGCTTTTCGTTCAAAAATTGCAGAGCGATTTAACAACCCTCTTGTGTAAAACATGGCTGCATTTGTTATCTGCAAATACAGTGACGAGCAAAACTGTAACATGATGTAACACTTTTTATTTCAGCCACCGCTATCTTTCATAGTTCTAACGACTTTCATACTTTTGTTGTATATTCTTATTGGTACACTCCTACTCCCGCTCTTATAACGATTTGAGGTCAATCCAACAACAATAAAAAAACCCTGGAGACAAAAATGTAAGTTAAGGCAAATGTTACAGTTTTGCACTCACTCTCAGTTTTGCATTTTACAGTTATCTTTTGCTTAGTTGGAAGTCAGATGACTTTTTTCTTTATTGTAATTTATTCAAGAAGTGATCACCAATAAATAATATGGTTAATCAGGAAACATAAATGTAAATAATAGATTTACTGCGAAAAGGCGGGACCGCAGGGAAAGGGGCAAAAAATTGTGGAATTTGCCACATGAAAATGTTAAGACTGAGAAAAAATATAGCCTAAAGTGTTACTAAGGACAAAGAAAGTCTGTCAAAATATATTACAGTCCGATATCTTGTGAACTTAGTAGCAAGTAGCGCTGCAGGCACTACTACAGAAGCGCTGAAGGTATTAAAATTGAATGGAAATCAGTAGATAGTGAGGCGAAAAATTGCCAAATTGAGCAAAATGGATCATAAAAGACGAAAAAAGCAAATTTGATCAAAATACATGTGCGAGTGTGGCAGCGTTTTGCTGCATCGCACGAAAACCGGACCGTTGTCTATTGGGATATGTTAGGCATTACAGAATGCAATAAAAAACACATTTTTAAGATTTAATTGAGGGTTATTTGGTTTGACAAGACTAAATTAATAGCTTTCAATCAGATGGCCGGGCATGGTATTGGATCCAAGGCCCAAATTAAGCCTAAGCGCATCATGTAAGGCACACTGTGAATCACAGTGGTCGGTCAATAATAGTTTGGGGTTGTATTTCAAAAATGTTGTTGATCCGTTTGTATATTTTAACAAAATTTGCAAGATGTAGTCAAAAAAATTAGAGTTTCTGCTGAAAAAGCAACCAAAACACACTGCACATGTTCGCAAAGACTGGAACGAAAGCAGAAATTTGATAATTTGAAATGACCTCCACAATCCGAGGACATGAATCTCATCGAGAATTTGCGAAATCAACTAAAAGCGCATCTTACTAAGTATCCAAGTCCGTCCAATGGAGTACATGAGCGGTGAAAGCACACCAAGGATATATGGGAGGCTATACCTCCAGAATTTTTACAGACATACACGTTAGGTATGCCAAATTGCAACCAGGAACTAAATAAAGCAAAAGCATACTGAACATTGTGTTAATAATTCTTTTTTTTTGTGAAAATTGTCAAAAAGTTATTAAAAATATATGAGTGCAAAACTGTAACATATGCCTTAATTTACATTTTTGTCTGCTGGTTTTGTAAATGTTGTTGAATTGACTTCAAATCGTTATGACAGAGGAAGCAAAGATGTACCAATAAAAATATACAACAACCGTATGAATGTCGTTAGAACTTGGAAAGATAGCGACAGCTGAAATAAAAAGTGTTACTCCATGTTACAGTTTTGCTCGTCACTGTATATCGAGAGAAAATTCCTCAAAATAAAAATCCCCAAAAAATACTCCCGCGCACCCGAAATTCCTCACGTTCTGAGGAATTACACACAAAGTGGCAACACTGTTTGTGATCATATGTTTTCGTGATGGATAATTTTTGCTGACTAAAATTTTGCCAGTACAAAATGAACGCTTCTCTTGCATTAAAATGAACGCTTGCTCTCTCAATTTTTGTGTGTTGGATAATTTTTTGTCGTTATCGAACGCCATCCAGTAAAAATTTGGAAAAACTATTACAAATTTTTGACTTGTCGAACGCAACTAATATGTTGTAACTTACGTGTATTAGCTTTTAATCACAATACCAGCACAGGTCGGCCAGGAAATCACTAAGGAAATGACCTAATAAATGCAAAATTATAGTTTATTTGTAAAATAATTCGGTTTTATTACAATACTTACCAAATTTCACGCAATTAGAAAACAAATGTCAGCGAATAAGAACAAAACGAACAACGAAAATTTAATCAATGTAGCTTGTTTAGATTTTTTTTTCTAATATTTTGGGAAATGGTCAGTGAAATTAGCAAAGAAACAAACAACACAGATTCTCCTAAGGTAGCTCAAGATGACGGATTAGAGCGAGAAGTTGCCAACGTATAACACCTTTCATTATTGCATCATGAATTTGTATAGTGTTTGTTGTTTAACCTGCTAGACTTGTATACAAAATAATGAACATTAAATAAACAAAACAAAAGTTGCCAAAACTGGTCCAATCCTCACACTTATTATTTCATGGACAACTGTAATTATATTAAACTAGGCACATTTCCACTTAGTCACAGTTAATTGCTGTCCAAGATAATAAAAAATTATTAGGGCTGTTCAGGAATTTGTGCATATGACCTTGCATTTGCATATTTCGGCGCATTTGTAAATTCACAACAATAAAATGCAAACCATTGACTTGGTAGCAAGCATAATTTGCAAATGCGAATCCAAGACCACTTCCACAATATTCTGAACAGCACGATATGTATATCCACAATTTTTATTTCCTGTTGGCAATAGGCAAAAACACAATCAACGTGCAACCCTGTGGTAAACTCAGTGTAACCACCTCGGGGCAAACTAAGGGGGCGCCATCTTGTGCACTAAAGAAACCAAAAATATCTAAATTATTAATTTTCCTGGATAAGCACTTCACTTTTTTAGAAAACTATTTTCAATTCATGGTACAATGATTACAGGTATTGTCTTCCCAGAGAGCGCATATTTCGATCTGCCTTATTTGAAAAACATCATTGTTGCCCACACTAAAAGGTTTACTTCTAGTGAAAAGGGATATTTCCATACCCCATATACCATATATGTACACGTATTTTGTAAACAAACCTTCTTGCAGAGGACTTATTTAATTTGCAAAAGCCGAAAAAAACATTTGCTTACTTAGGGTTTACACACGACAATACTATCATGACAATGAAGATATATGTATTAGTTGTCAAAAACGCATGCATGGAAAAGTATGCATGTATTAGTGAAAAAGTGTGCATGTTTTGTTATTGTCATGACAGTATTGTCCGGTGTAAACCCTAAGTTAGTAAATAAATTCAAAATTTGTATGGCTCATTTCATTTCAAACGTTTTTTCTCTTGTTTTGAAAGATTATAAAAATGAAATTGAGCGAAAACAAAAAAGCAAAGCCAAATAAAAGTAAAAGAATCAACATTGAACTGCGTAAAAATGAAAATAAGGGCGCACGAATTTCGATGTGAAGCAAAATTCTCTGGGAAGACAATACCTGTAAATATTGTACCATGATTTCAATTGAAAATTATCCCGGTTTCTTTTTGCGTTGCTTTCTCGCTTTGAGTGAATTTTTATTTCTTGTTTTGCCCATTAGGTCATCCGGTAGCTTTCACCCGATTTTTGCGGGAACACGGTTTACGCAAAAAATATCGCTTCGAGACTACCCTACAAGAACAGTGATAGTCATTTGGTTGATCATGTGATACTCACTGGTGATGGAGATCTCAATCAAGTACTTCTATCAAGCTTTTTATGAGCAATATGGAAAACGTGATGCAAACATTTGTGTAAATGGGCTCTTCCGCCTTCCTCCAACTTATGGCCTTATTTAGTGGTCTCTTTTTTAACCAACGCAAAATTTGCAAACGTGTTAGTAAGATAAACGAGAATGTTCCATGTCACACAATTCTTGTAGGGTATGCAATCATTATTACCGCATTTTGTTTTGAAATTTTAGTGTGTAGCAATTTAACCCTTTTAGGTTGCCATTAACAATATTTGTGGTCTTTCAGATATTCGAAAGCACTTTGTAGCCTCCCCTACATCGCTAAAAGTGGAACTCGGTTCCAAAGCTGAATTGCATTGTGCGCCTCCTGGAGGATTTCCTGAACCAAAGATAACGTGGTTTAAAAATAATGCTCCGGTTACAAACGCTAATGAATACGGAATAGTTATATCTGACGATGACACTACTATAACTTTCGATGTTGTATCGTTACAGGTAGTTAATAGATATTGTTTATATCGTTATAGTCATTTCAAAAGGTCCTGAATAAATGATAATTTTTTGTCAAATGCATCTTGAAGGAGATTTATTTACATTTAATAACTTTTTTAACAAAGTAGTTAAAACATTTAATATGCATATATTAGAACTTTTCGTTTCGCCCTAGAAATTTGAAAGTGGCACTTACGACCTTTTGTTATGGTGAAAACGGAAAGTATCTAAATTATCGTTTTAGCCTTTCGCCAATACTTAAGTTTGTGTTTCTAATATATAGGATATGGCTAACTATACGTGTAGTGCAGAAAATGTTGCTGGTAAAAGAGTATCGGACTCAGCGGTTTTAATCGTCTACGGTATGCAAATGTGAAAATGTTTCTTTTTATTTTTATATTAAAAGGAAAATGTGTTTCTTAGTTAATGGAGGATGGAGTTCATGGAGCCCTTGGAAAGAATGCAAATGCTCGGGAAAAATAAGTCTGGGTCGAAAGAGAGTTCGCTTTTGTAATAACCCGATTCCGTTGAACGGTGGCTCGTTATGTTCTGGTGCGCAAATCCAAAAATCTGCCGATTGCATTTCATGCCCAGGTAATATCCTCTTGCGAGTGTTTTTGTGTTAATCACTAATGACTATTGCTTTTTAATAGATGACGCCCAAATTGTAGCCGCTGAGGGATATGATGCATCATCAAATAAGAAATGTAAGTCTCTGGTATTGGTGCCATCCAAGAATTCCTAAATATATTCAGCCTCATTACGTAAGTCGTAAATTAGATTAAATTGTACGACTCGACAACATTGGCATTGCCTACTGTCGTGCTGAAATAACTTAACGACGAAAAACATCGAAAACTATCCAGTGCTGCCAAGTATTTCCGCTTTAATAAACTAGTCGAATCAAAATTTTAGACAATGAAATGCAATTTTCGATACTCGATACGACACTCTGTAATGCTGATTATAGTCATATTAGAGCTTTGGGTAATCGTTTAACGGATAAATTGACTATACTGGATTGAAAAACCCACAACCGACTACAGTGAGCCGAGTAGTACAACGCTTTTCACTATTCAGATAACCGCCCAATTTCGATCGTTCGTTTAATATTTGATTTTCAGTTAGTTGAATATTTTAAACTCCAATTTTATATATGTAGGTATATTTACACCAGAGCTGTGAATTTTATGATTACGATTACATTCTGATTACATAGGATTACGATTACTGTAATTGTAATCCTGAACATTTTCAGCATTGCAAAAACTGAAATTGTAATTATAACATGCTTGATTGCGAATACTTTAATGGCAATCCTTAAAATTTAACGATTACGACTACTGTAATCGTAATCGTACTTTTTTATGAAATTTTGATGAACCTTTGTCGAATTTTGCTAATTTTTGAACAAAGTGTGAAATTTTGACTTACATGGTTTTTGTTAGACAACGAGCTACACTTTCTTAAAAAAACAATAAACATTACATAATCGAAAGGGGAATTGCCAAAGAATGCTAAAATGTCTTTTCTCTATTTATATTTCGCCCCTGTATCTACAGCTTATATTTTTTATATCGATGCTTTTTTTGAGGGAATTAGTATTATTTTTTATAATTTCACTAAATGCAAGTTAGAATCGTTTCATTAAAAAAAACTTAACAAATAATTATAAAAACCTTAAAAAAAAGTTAGTCAATAATGATAAACTGCAATATAGCGAGAGTATCTACCAGTTTGACAGAATGAAACATAACCACAGAGCATAAAAAATAAGGCTGCTGGCTATGTTTATGGCTCCCTTATATTCTACGTCCTTTGTGATAACAAAAGTGCTGCCACGTACTAGGAGACTCTTATTAAATTAATAAAGAAAACACTGAAAATCGGAATTTAATCGGTAGAAATATGAAAAATCGGGACGTCCCGACTTTTAAAAAATTTTCGGCGGGATAATTTTCTCAAAATCGGTACTGTCCCGCCAAAATCGGTACCAATGCTCACCGTAGGTATAGTCGTTGGGTGTAGGTATAGTCGTCGTTGCTAGTTCGAGCACTCTGGGCAACGTGAGCAACCCATGTGCAAGATGCGGTAACTAATCCGAGTGAGCTTTGGCTCACGGCAGAAAAAGAGGGAACTTCGGTGGGGCCACTCCGATGTATTCTGTTTAAGGGATCACTGAAGTCTGCAGCGTCTGCAAAAGGGCGTCTGTCTTGGAGCGCACGGCTCGCTTTAAAAAGGTGTATTCGGTTGCTAAACTACCTCCGTCCCAGTAATGGGTTGTGCGCTTGGTTTGGGACCCTCCACACAAAAACCCCTTCCAGTGAAGAAATTCAGCAAATCCCCTTTTGATGATGACCACAGCAAACGTTTAAAGGACTACGATTTGAGGGATTGAATGTACTTAGAAAAAGAGATTAGTCATACAAAATTCGTCCCTGGTTAATCTGTAATTATGAATTAATCTCAGGTTTAACAAATAACTTTTCGGTGTCCAACTTAGTTTTATCGATTAGTTTTGCGAAGAAAAGGAGAAATGCCGAATGTAAGAGTAAACAAAAATGGCCGCTAGCAAGGAAGAGGTTTGTAAAGGTATTTTTAATAAAATATTAAGTTAAAATATATTTATATTTCTTAGGGCCGTTTTCACCATCTCTGGTTAACACTAATCCCAAGGTAAACATTGTTACCGACGCTACTGACTCCATGCATATAACATTATGTTGATAAAGTCGGTAAGAATGTTTAACTGGAGATTAGTGTTAACCAGAGATGGTGAAAACGGCCCTTAATGTAGCAGAAAAAAGTGATCACAGTGGCACAGAGAAGAAACATAACTTTTCCTTGAGATGTGAGAATAACAAGCACGACAAGTTTGTTGGCTAATAATCTGAGATTTGCCTGTGTAAACCGGGAGATTAAAAACGAGCTTTGATTGAGCTAATATTTATACATATGTGAACATACTTTAACAACGATATTTTCGATTTCACTCAAATTGAGTGATATCAATTTTGTCGTATTCGTAGGAGGATTTCGAATTCGTATATTTTCTACGATGGATTCAGTGATAGCCCTGACTAATTCGGCTTTTCTTCCGAAGTTTGCTAAATTTCGCTTTTCCAACTGCTGTTTGAGTTCCTCAATCTTCAGGTCTTGTATGTTTGCCTTTTCCGGCCAATTTTTACGATTAGCCTTGCGTATTCGACGGATTTCCTTAATCCTACAGGCTTGTTTCACTGGATTGTTAAATAAACGCTCAAATTACAGTACAACTAACTTTATTGTACAACAAACACTTTACAAAACTGGTTAAGGCAATTCTGTATTCTTAATACTTGCTAAGGCAAATGATCTCTGTACTCGTTGCTTCCTCTTTTTCTTTCTGAAATTTTTTGCCGCTGTAGCGACGTCATTATATACCCGCGTCGCTTCGCACTCATGGCAACTCTCGTTATCAAACATTACCGTCCTTCTTTCCCGTTCACATCTGTCATTGTTCTCTCGTTTGCTTTGGGCCGCCATCTGTGTTTTTCAGTGTTCGCCATGGCGGAATTATACCAGCTGAAGAAATAGCTGCGTTCGCGATGTCCAAAAAACTTCCAAGGAAGGGGAAATCAAGAGAACAAAATTACATTTAGTTTTGTGGGGAAGTGGCAAATTTTTTCTGGATAAATTTTTGCCAGCTGGGATTTGCAAGTAGGTAGGCACATGGTGACATATTTGTCGTCAATAATTTGAATAAAGAAGTTCGTTAAAATAAAAGTAAACTCTGGCTGGTTGATAATGAAAAGTTTATTTACTTAGTTTATTTACTTAATTAGCTTCGTGACACCTGATAAGAACTTTTGCGTTGACCAATAAAAAAATTGTGTTGATGCTTTCCATTTCCAGACAACCACACAGGTACGAGCATGATTTTTAATTTCGACCAAACTCAAATACATTGTTTGTTGGTCCAAATAATAAGACACGTATTTTTTCTTTTGGCTCGGAAAAATTTTTCGGTCGAATTAAACGCGATTTTGTTTTTCAGGCAAAAATCGGTTATTAGAATTGACAGTGAGAATTTTTTTTTTAAATGCCCATAACTTGGTCAAAATTTAATAGATTCCAACAATGTTTTTACTCAAATGTCAGTAATTCTTGTCACTTCAAGATAGAATGATATAATTATTGATTTTCATTATTTAAAATTTTTTATTTAACAATAAACAAAAAGTGCAAATTTTTTTTTAAATTTAATTTCTCAAAAAGTGTATTTTTTTTTTCTCTCAAACTTTTTTGCCGGCCAGCGACTTGAGGACATTGTTGCGGCTCTGTACTTTGTTGACAATTGCGGTTGTATGCGCCGAGAAGGAGAGCAGACTGTCGCAGGTAACTCGGGGGATTTTCGGGTTATTGACCGTCGGTATTGTTACGCCATCAACGTGAGTACCCAGTTGCAGTCTGACCTTCTTCGTCCAGGTGGTGAATAGGGTTGCCGAGGATTTCGCAGGGGATAGGGAAAGGCTCCTTGCACTGCAGAAGCGAGAAAGTTCGGCGAGATAACTGTTTACTTTCGAGCACAAGTCATCAATTCCATTCCCAGACGCCATGATCGAACAATCGTCAGTATAGGAGAGAATATTGACACCCTCTGTTGGTTGAGGAAGCTTTGAAATGTAATAATTAAACAGTAGTGGGGACAGGACACCACTCTGTGGTACCCCCTGTTTAATTTTACGTGGCTTGCTGGTTTTGTCTCTGAAAATTACTGACGAGTGTGACTCAGGTAATTCGCCGACCACCGTTTGAGTCCCTGCGTGAGTGAGGAGGGTCAGGTGGTTTGTAAAATACGGGAGTAGAAGGGCCTCTAGTGTCTTTGCTACCGGGGAAAGGAGGGTTATCGGGCGATAAGACTCTCCTTTGTTGGCTGAAAACACGAGGCGCACTGGGTTTTGGCATTTTGTGCAGCCTTCTAGTCACTCGACGTTTGACTTTATCCACTCGAGGATGCAGAATGAACTGCCGGCTAAAATAGCTCGCGCATCGCTCCGGGTCCGACGAAGCGTGGTAACCAAAGTCTATTTCGACTCTGTCGTCACGCTTCGTCGGGTTGGACAACGACCTCACGGTTGACCAAAGCTGGCTCACACCAGAGGCGAAGATGCAGGTCTTCAAATGCTCTTCCCATTTCTTCCGCTTATTTACGTTCACAAGTTGCCGAATATCCGAATTGAGATCCCTGATACGGGGATTTGCGGGATCGGCCTGACGAAGGTTGTCGCGCTCATCGGATAGAACAGCCGCTTCAGCAGGAACGTTCGGACGTGCTGGGATGAAGCGAGCTGCTGCAGCAGTGACAACCTTGCGGAATTTACGTTCACCTACATGAACGTTGGTTGGTATAGGCAGTTCAGTGAAGGCACCCTCAGTAGCATCCGCGAAGTCTGTCCAGTCAGCTTTGGAAAAGTTGGCATAGGTCCGGTGATCCACGGAAGCAAAGTCGGCAGGTTTATCAATCGAGATGACTATGGGCAGATGGTCTGATGCTAGTGTCTGCATAGGTCGCCATGATACGTTGTTTATCAGACCAGCGCTAACAATTGTTAGATCTGGCGAACTGCAGCAGCTGAGGTGGGTGCGTCGTCGTTCATTGTGCAGAATGTCGAATCGTCTATCTGCTCAGCCAGATGTATTCCCCTACGATCATATTACAGGCTTG